CCTACGCAGAAGCTGTATAATATACCTTATAAAATTTGAATAATAATAATACTTGAGGTCAGACAGTCGCCTTCGGTTCGGGTTTTCAAGGGTGCTCTTTTGAAGTTTTGGGATTGTTCAGACTCCACATGTTAGAGCTTATGAAATATTTATTTACATTTGATGTATTTATTTATAGTTTTATTTTGTGCATTCATTTTATTATAGACTTTGTATGTATTAATGTATCAACATTACTTAATATATACGTATTCGTATGTACATTCGATTTATTAAATTTATCTGTGTATTTATTGAGTATAGTATATTCCATTTCTTTACTTATCTATTTTTAGTGCCACCCCAAAAACCAACTTTCCTCTCAGATTTTCAAAGGTTAGTTGGAAGAAATCTCTTTATGGGATAAGCTCGCCTTTGCACACAAATATTTAAATTGTTTCTGAAAATTTGTAAGTTACTTTGTGGTACAATAAAGTGTTTAAATAAAATAAATAATAAATACTTTATTTCAGAAAAAGTTTCCATAATTTGTTAGTAAGACTTAGCAACTATGTTAGTAGGCACTTAAATAAATTACATTACAATTGAAATTACATTACATAATATGCAATTACTTAATTTAAATTACACCTATGACTCTTTGTATTAGATGCCTAGCAAGGGACTATCGAACCGGTTAACGAGTGTTATCCATATCAGTTACAGCTTCACTAATAGTTTTGAACGTCGTAAATGGCAAATTTTAAATATTAAACTTTCTGTAAAAATTTTAGAACATATTTCGTCAACAAGCCCACGGGACTCGTATCTACAAAGACCATTCATCGTTAAAAATTACCAATATCATAAACAAGGTTGCTCGTAGGCGGCTTATATTCAAATATTGGTACTACAGTCGAAGTCCTTGCTCACCAAAACTGGCAACTATGTGTCATGGTTATTTCATGACATATTAATACTGATTTGGATAATCCGTAATGTCAATTACTTGATTTAACATGAACTGATAAGAGGCCAAAGTAAGTAGCATATTTCTCCCATTTCGGTCTTAGTACAATAACCATACAGCTAATAACATGGTGTTGAAATTAAGTATCTATCTTTAGGGCTCTGTTTCATACCACTTTCTACTACACTTTCGGACACTTGATTCGCGCCTCTTGCATTTTCAAAATTAAATGCCTTCTAATAAAAATAATGATTGGTCAAAAAATACGAACAACAACAATGGAAGCTAGTAAATATCATTTCCAGAACTGTTCTTAAAAATTTGAATTTATAAAACATGTTTTAAATAACAATATTTTTGTATTCTTAGCCTTTAAAAATAAATATGCAAAGGAACTCGAATTATGGGTCCGGGAGTGTAGTAGGTAATCTGTATTATAATAAATAATTACTGATAATTAAAAAACACAGTTGTTAAAAGAGATCATTGTCAGATAATTAATGAAAACAATTGTATGAATAGCAAAACTGTTAAAACTTTGACAGATAATTAATGAAAATAACTGTATACATAGTAACACTGTTAAAACTTTGATAGATAATTAACCGTAACAGTTGTATAATAGTATAACTGTTAAAACTTTGATTTTAGCAGAAACAGCTGTTGTTGAATGCAGCACTGTACCGGAAAACCAGAATATCAATGTCATCAGGCTATCTTTCGCTTTAGGCAGGTAGACGGCGGGTGTGCATATGACCATGGCAAGAAGGTCTGTCCCATACACTATATAATCGATAATTTAATCCATGGAGACCAGAAAAAATATACGAGAAAAAATCCTTCCACCACTCTATATAATTGAGCTAGGAGAACATTCCTGTCCTCTGAAAGAGAAATAGTATCATAGTTGCGTAGTCTTTGAAACATGTGTGGTAAACGCGGAGAAATTTTGTTGCACGATACATTTTTTCTTTTTTATTTATTACCAGTCTTTTTTACTTCTCTTTTTTACTTTTTAATGTATTACATAGGTACAAAACAAGGTAACCCATCACAAAATATAAAATTTTTTGTCCTAAATAACGTTTGTTCGAATTTTCATTACACCGAAAACCGAATTATAACGAAACAGTTGTTCTTTCAGGATATGTTCAATGTTTATCGCAAAGACACGATTAGATTCGGTTAGGTTAGATTAAGTTGTAGGGCCGCGGGGGAAGAGACGTGTCGGTGTACTGTTGCTGCTCGTCGCGGTTGGCCCGTGGTGGGCGCTCCAAGGGACTCTCTTCGGAGAGTCCACGCGGATGCGCGTTAGGTGTTGCGGCGGACCGTGCCATCAGATCCGCCAGCGGGTCCTGGGGGAGTAGCCACTGAACTTCACGGTTGAGTGAAGGCCTTGGGTAGCGGATTCGGGGAAATTCTGTCTGGTGTTCGGCGAGACTCACATTCGGAGTCAAGGGACCGAAGTGCCTCTCTTTCTCTGTATTGTAGTATAGCATACTGACCCTTAAGTGGAGCGCTTCGCGATGCGCTTCTATGAACCGACATTGTTTACAACGTTCAGTACTGAATTCAATGAGTGCGAAAGAGAAATTTTTTAACAGCGCGACACGTGAAACAAAAGATTAGTATGAGGAAATTTAGCAAAATTAGAGCATAGTTTTTCGCGCGTATTTTGTTGTGTTGTAAAAATTCTTATTATTCAATCGTTGTTAAGAAGCGTAGTGTTGTTTAGAGGCATTGTTAAAAATGGAACACTATAATGTAAGTTTAATTTTTTATTAAACAATGTATAGGTAAGTGAATTCCCACTGAAATCTCCTCTGAGGCGCCTCTGTCTGTAAGCAGATTCCCCCAGATTATCAAAAAAAAGTTTAAAAGAAAAAACATTTTCCTCTCAAATGTCAAAATTAACCACAAAAGGAGCAATTATTACAACATTATTATTTAAACAATTGCCTTTTAGAAATATAGTATACTCTCTTACTATAAAGTAAGCTCAAACTAGTCCCGTGATGTATTTATTACGGACACCCCAGAGGAAATTTTAATTGAAATATCTGTAATAACAATCGAATGGAACCGATTTTTCCCGTAGACAAACAAGTAAGAAATGAAAATACGGTGAAACTTTGTTATTTTTTTAACGAGGTAAGTTTATTATAATTATTAATACAAAGATCGAACACTCAGAAAAAATTCCTTCGATCCGGTCGGATTCGAACCGACCAAAAAGTCGTTGAAAGACCAAGTACAAAGACACGACGCAAGCACATAGAAAAATTCATGAGGTCCGTTGGTTCGTTCCGTTGCTTAGTTGGTATAGCGTCTGGCACGGTATGCAAGAAGCCGTCGGTTCGAATCCGACCGGATCGAAGGAATTTTTTCTGAGTGTTTTTTCTGAGTGTTCGATCTTTGTATTAATAATTATAACAAACTAGTGGAGTAATTTCACAAAAAATAATTGAATATCAATTCAATAAAAATTTAATTAATGAGGTAAGTTTAGTCAATCGTGTTTCGGGTCCCGTAGTTCATTACCAGTATCTTCTGTTTTCATTCTCAACTAAAAAACTGCTCGAATTTTTTAACCGACCTCAGAAAAAGGAGGAGGTTCTCAATTCGACTGTGTTTTTTTGTATGTATGTTACGCGATAACTCCGACATTTGTGAACCGATTTTGATGATTCGTTTTTTGTTGGAAGGAGGGTACCTCAGTAGTGATTCCATTTAAATTTGAAGAAAATATTCCACCTCTAAGGGTGGCAAACCAGGGGACGAATCCTGTTTCGCGCACTTTCCGTTAACCGTTAATTCTATGAACTTTTGAGTCGTGCGCGTGATGGTAAGCTACACGCCTGTCGTTATTAGTTGCAGTGCCACTCAGAGCTTTAAATTGCAAAGATCCATGGGGCACTGTCAGTGCGCCCGTCACCCTGAGTTACCAAGTCCCATGTGCCTGTAATTTCACCAGCACTCTTACCCTCCAAAACCGGAACACAGCAATGCTCATATTACTGCTTGGCGGCAGAAATAGGTAAGGTGGCAGTACTTCCTTTGTACATTAAAACACACCCTACATTACAACATTGGTCCTTTTACTACTTCTGCTACTACATTTCTTCTGTGTCAACATTATGTATAACTTAGAATAATAACGCATAGAATGATAGTTTCATATCAAACGAACTGTCACAAGTGAGGCAAAAATCAAATTCATGTAGGCTAGTTTTAGTAGTAGGTTAGTTTTTGGTTTTAGTGAATATTTATATAAAAATACAAGTTGGAACGCGTTACTTCCTTGTGGAATGTGATGTTAGTATCTATTTTATGTTTGCCTGACGTATTTTTACACTCATTTACCGCACATTTCGTCATTTTTAGCTAAAATTCTTGAGCTCTTCGCGGTGTAAGTTGACCTTCAGCACTGACGGTCCGCCCGCTCGTGTAGGCCCATTGAAAGCGCTTCAATTTGCCTCACTTAGCGTGTGCGGACTAGGTTTCTATGCGTTATTATTCTAAGATGTATAACTTAAAACCGCTCGGCAGACACAATACAAAGCACACAGCACTAAAACAAAAACCCATCAACTTCATATCACAAAATACAAAACGGAACTCCTATTTAGCAACGTACGTAAACATTTGTGATGTGACAAAAAGGAGCTGACGTTTGTCACGTTATTACCGCTGCATAAACACTAGCGACAGTATTAGTTAATTTGGTAGATTTTGTCCATAACAAAAATCCAAACAAGCAAACTACCCTCATCTCACTAAAACATGCTTTCGTAGTCGTTCCTTAAATAACAAGATGATTTTATTCTGTTCTAATTTTAATTTTAATAATTAACTTCTCAAAATACATAATAGTGATGTCTAAAATGCAGAAGCAGTGTTTGTCAATCAACTTCAATTATATATATATTTTTAATTTACATACATAGAGTCTATTGTCCAGATGCCAGCAAAACTAATTAGGTTCACCGAGATTTATTTGCGAGCATCATTTTAATTCAATCGATCGCACTTTTTCGCTGCACTGATAGGTGGGGAAGAGATGTCTTTTTAATGTCAACTTTCTTATTATAAAAAGTAATGTTCAAACTTAGTTCAAAAAACAAAAGAAATCCTCTTTAATTCAGTACAAAACAGATTTTATTCAAAATTCTAAATCACAGCAACGAAACAAAAAGTTGCGAGTTCTAACCCAGCATTAACGTCAAAGTCTCATCTTCTATATAGCTTTCGTTTTATTTTAATACTAATTGACTATTCATTTATAAATATAAATCCATTTAAATACTTTAATTTGAAAAAGCGAAAGAAAAACAAAATTATTATTGTGTATCTCCAAACAAAGTAGCCATTAACATTCCACCAATCAGAAGTCGAGTTCTAAAACGCGCTGTTAAAGTTTTCCCACAAATTAAATGAAATATTTGAGTAAAATACACTCAGACGGGGTCAACTGCCTGGATGTAAGCTAGTTTGTCAAGCTAGTAAAAATAATTTGGCTATCTGTCGGTTGAGACCCGTTCTAGGGTGCCGACTTTAAGGGAAGCCAGAGGTCCGTCTAGACGTCAGTCCTTGACCCTGGTTCTTCCGATCCAGGTGGTAACTATGGGCGTTAAGCGTCCATAGGTAGTACAACCTTAGGGTTATCTTGACTCCACTTTTTGTCTCCATAATTCGCGGAATCTGTAAAAACTGTAGCGATTATTTGGCTAGGTTCAGATGGACGCGCATGCGTAAGGCTAGTAAACAGACCAGTGTCCTGATTTTGATTCAAATCCGAATTCTATCCGATCGGGTAGTCTCGAAATCAGATGTGTTTCTGAGCGAGAAGATGAACCTGATTCCTACTATATCTTTCTAATTTGTGAGTTAAATCAACTATTGTTTCGTTTAGAAATGTCAAAAGTTTAGCTGGTTGTGAATCGCAATTATCAGCCTCGACTCGGAAAAGACGCAGTTTCCGATCGGGAAAGGCAATCAAAATCAAGCTGCAGATCCCGTCTGTGGGCTAGTATGTCAGGGCGCGACTTTCGTGAGAGCGACATAAAAGCGCGAGATATTGATATTCTTTAAGCAAGAGTGGCTGTACCTATCGTGCTAGCCTTACTACCGTGCATTGACGCGCGTGACCATGCGTTGGTTTGGGACGCGGACGTTCAGATGATGACAGGCAACGCGAGATGCAAAAAGCAAAGTGTAACAACGAGACGTCCCATCGCGACAAAAACGCGATATCATCTGTGAAGTATTTCCTCTGAACTACACGTTAACGCGCAGGTAATGTAAATGTATAAATATTTAGACGCGTGATTTGAAAACTCGTGTAAAATTTTTGTTATCTGAACTTAGCCTTATTTGATTAAGTGTCGATAAGTGTAAGTACACATAGTGTGGAAAGCCTACCTCGAAAATAATAGAATGATTAAAAATAAAGCGCAAAAAAACTTATATTTACAAAACTTTTCTCTTAAATACACTGTCGTGTGTAAAAAACACGCATCAGTCTATGTCAGATACAGTGCCCCTCAGATCTTTGCGATTTAAATCTCTGAGTGGCACTGCAACTGTTATGGACAGGGGTGTCGCTTACCATCAGGCGCACGACTTGTTCGTCCCGTCCCTTAATATTATAAAAAAAGACAAACAAGAACTCTTACAGTAAATAAACTTAAATTGGTGTCGACTATTTGGAGTATCCATTGTTTTGTATCGGAGGTTTCTAAAATTTTAATTTATAAAGTACTCATATTCGATCAATGCGTAGTCGTACAAAATATTGTAAATTCAAGATTCATGATTTATCGAAAAATAGACTTAAAATAGTTACTATGTAAGCGCTTCTTCAAACACCGAGAACATAAAAATCCATAACGAAATCAATGTCTAGTGTGGGTAGTAACAATAAAACTTATATTCCTAATCTTAAGCGCGAAGAAACACAGTGTTCAAACACGCAGACAAAGCAATACAAAACATCCAACACAGTTATTAAAAAAAACACACAAACGCAATCCTAAAACGCGCAAGCAAAGTTTTCCCAAGTCTGTAACACAAATACATTTCTATAAATAGTAAAATCGGGGGTCCGGTTTCCAGAGGGGAGCCAGTTGGCACCAAGCTGGTCAGAGTTGGTGTTCTACTTCGTCCATTCCAGACTGCGGCACCGGCCGGGTGGTGAAAGCCAAAAACTCCTGTAAAGGCGTGATAGTCGTGTGATAGCCAAGCGCTTACAATGTTGAGATTAGCGGATTGATTGACCGCCGATCACCTTCTGGTATTCCTGGCGAACTAAGTTCATTTGACCCTCAAATTTTTGTTCGTCATCTTTGTCAACCCATTTATTGAGGAGTACAGCCCCATATCTTATTATATAAGTTTTTTATAGTGACCCTCTCTATCAACCTCTTGGTTATGCGGGAACGGTACTATAACCTGTACGAGCCAACATCCAAACCACAGATCAACCCGTTTGCATGGACTT